TACGACAAACAATCTCTAAGGCGTCTGCCTGGCCCACGAGTACGAACTAAACCAGGGCCTCTTCAGTGATTGGCTGGGTCGCGTAGAACACAAACTGACCAGCCAGCCAATGAACGTCAAGGTTACTTTGTCAACAGAGTTCAAGGACATTGTAAAACAAGTCAAAGTTTTGAAGGTCAGTCAGTCTCTGTTGTTTATGTTGTTAGTTGTTTTAATAATTCTATGATCTGAAAATTATAAATGCGGTTTAATCTAATGCTCATGTTTAAGTCTAAATAACACATTCATACGTAAGCACACAGACAGACAGACAGAGCATATAATATACTTATACTTCTGCATTCATGCACGCACACACTCGAGAACAGTATACAAGCGCACACACACACGCACACACACACGCACGCACACACACACGCACGCACACATGCACACGTACACACACCAACAGTCCCTGGAACATCAAATGGACATCTGGATGCCTCGATTCGACCAACTGAATCAGATCAGCACATCACTGGGGGAGCACATCTCCGAAGACAACCAATCAGTGGAGAGGATTAACTATCAGTTGCAGACGATGAAAGAGAGATGGGATGAGATTGTCAGGAAGATGGAGAACAAGAGCAAGGAGGTTTGTTGGTCGGTCAGTCTTTGGAATCTGGCTGGCCGTTTTGCTGATTGGTCATTTTATTGAATATTTTGGCAGCGTACATTTCATAAATAATCTTGACAAATGGACAAAAAACGTATAATGGCCATACATAGAAAAATGATGAACAACTGCTACAACAGATTTTAGACGCAGGCATCGAGTTGAAAGAAGTTGGCAGCTGCATGAACAGCGACAGCAGCAGCAGCAGCATCTCCATCTGCAGGAAGATCACCAATGAAGTTCTCGTCATCGAAACTTCTTCGAAAAGAAGACGAACTGACGACGGCGATGATGGTGGTGATGATTCCAAAAACGATGAAGATGATGATGAGGAAGATGAGGGGAATTATGATGAGGTTTCGGGTGCTAAGAAGCAAAAGTTCAGTGATGTAACAATTGAAGGTTGGTTATTTTGGTTATTTTGATGATAATGATGATGATGATGATGGTGATGATCATGATCATGATCATGATCATGATGATAGTTCATATAGTATTCATTCAAGTTTGTGATGATGATGATAACATGGTGGGTAATTAAATATGATGACAACGACAATATGAAGATAATGAAAATAATCTTCATGTATTGCCTTGTCTACTCAGCTATCTCACCTTACAAATGCGTTCATACCGAAGTTAGGTTGTAGCTAAAAGTTCCTCTAAATGACTCTTCTTTTAGATTCGCCCCAAGACCAACAATTGCAGCAACAGCAACAATTACAGCAACAGCAGCTACAACAACAACAACAACGCAACATAGAATTGATAGCAGGTAAGTTGAGTTTGGCCGAGGAATCGCTTCTGTGGTTGACGGGAATCCTGAAGAACCTGCCTTTGAGCAGCGTGCAGACTGTTATGGAGTTGACCAGGAAGAAAGAACTCTACAAGGTTCACCGTTCACCTGCTGTCGTTCACGTGTGGTTGATGTTGTTCGCGTATACATCCTTCTCCACTCCTGGCACCACTTGAAATGTTTTCGTCATTTTTTTTTTTATTTCCACTACAGAAGCACGTAGAGAAACTATCCAAGCATGACTTAACCATTCAGGATCTGAAAACGGAAATTGAAAAAATGTCAACTTCCGGTGGGATTCCCGAATCTGGAGATCTCCAGGAACTTGCTAGTCTGGCACTGCAACTCATTGAAAAGTGGAATGGATTGAAAATGAAACTGATGAATGAGTACGAAAGTATCACCAGCAGTTTAGACGCATGTACCACCTATGCAGGTTAACAATCGGTTCTGAATATTTTATTTTTATAGCAATCATCATCATTGTTTCACCTTCAACATCTCCATCGTCCAGCTCTGTTGAAAGCGGAAACACGTTGGCACGACCAGCTGAATAAGATGCTCTCCAGACAGCCCAGGCCATCTGGCGACGCCGAGGAGTTGGCCGAAGAACTCGATGTTAGTTTAGTGGGCGGTTGGTTGGCTGGTTGGTCGGTTGGTTGGTTGGTAGAGTGGCGAAACAGCTAAGTGGTTGCTTGATGATTGGTTGTTTGCTTGGTCGGTCTCTTTCGATCAAATAACAACTGGGAATTTATACATTTTTCCATTTCACTAATTTTATATTTTGTATATGTTATATATATGTATATGTTTGTTATTATATATTTTTGGATTGGCTATCAATTCAAACATTTTTCCATTTCACTAATTTCATATGTTTTATTTCACCTATAGGGATAGTCTCACTCAGATTTGTTTCAACCATGTAAATCATTTTGTAAGCAATTAACTAATCAAACCATCACATACAGGCCCTGGAGAACTTAACTGGGTCACGTACTTCTGCCAACATGGACCAGTTGAAGAACCTGACCCAGTTTCTGACCTCCTTGCCCGTGAACCACCGACCAACCAGCATGCCTATTCAGTCCCTGGAGAAGTTGGACGAGTTCGCTGCACGTGGTCACTCCATGGTTTTGCAGGTTTGTGCTGTTTGCGGCGGCAATGCTTTGTTGTTGTTTGTTGGTGTGTGTTGTTGTTTGTTGTTGTTTATTGGTGTTTGTTGTTGTTTGTTGTTGTTTATTGGTGTTTGTTGTTGTTTGTTGGTGTTTGATTTTGTTAATTTCTTAAGAAGTTTATCCTTGCAAATACTTGGGTCTTTTTCAATTTATTTGTTTAAATATTTATCGCCCATTTTTCCTGTTGGCACACATACACACACACACATGCAGGCTTACATACACTCACACATACACACACGCACGTGACAGGCACGTGACCGCATGATGTACCTGGAGTCCGGAATACAGGCAGCTCAGAACAGGGAGTCGAGAATAATTGACATGCAGCAGTGGATGTGTGAGGTGGCCGCTACACTGCAACACAACCTTGAAGCCGATCTACTGGCTGCTGATATGCCTGAGGAATATCAAGTATGTTTGCGACTGAGTGTGTGTGTGTGTGTGTGGGTGTGCGTGTTGGTGTGTGAATTGGTTTTTACGGAGTTTGGTGGCGTACGTTTTGTCCGTGTGAGTGCTGCTGCTGGTGGTGATGATGATGGTGGTGATGGTGATGATAATGATGATGGTTAGGTAAGTTGTTTGATGATTGGAATTAGGAATGAATGGTATGTCAACAATGGAGAGAAAATGTGGAACTTGAAAATATTAAAGCCGTATAAATCTTAACAAATAATTGAAAACAAGAATGAAAATATAAAAACCTTTTCTATTTCAGAGTCTCCTGGAAGAGTTCACAGCTTATGAGACGTTCTTGAAAAATTTAGAGAGAGATGTGGAAGTGTTTAGAGAGGAGGGTAAGGAAGAGGCTGCCGATCGTTTGTCGCAGCAAATTGAATTGCTGAAGGTGAGGGCTTTCTTTCACTCAATTTGAAGTTTTACGATTATTTAGTATCTTTCCATGGATTATGTCACAGAAAGATTTTGTGGAAGTGAAAGTGAAACTTCAGAAGTTTCAGAAACCACCTGATTTCGATTCCAAACTGGGATTGGTCAAGAGAGTTCTCGATGAAATTAACGAAAGTGTTCAGCTGATGGAGATCGGCGGAAGTGAAACTGAGGTCATCCAATCACAGCTCGAGAATTATCAAGTGGGAGGAGCTAGTTTTATTTTGAATAATCCCAACTGATACATTTTGGTGTTCACATTTGTGCTATTTTACATTGCAAATGAATTTTACATTCATCATTTGTCGTTGCACAGTTCGTCAGAAGAATTTATAATAATTATTAATTAAATTATTTATTTGTGAATACAAATGTATTGCATACATACACATTCACACAGGTATACATACTCACACATGTATACATTCACGCCCGTATGCATTCTCGTACACAAGTATATACACCGACAGAAATATTACAAAAAGATGAGCGAGATCAAACCGGAAGTGGAGTACGTGATAAAAACAGGTCGGCAGGTGGCGGACAAGAAACAGGTTGACTTCCCACATCGTCTCAACTCGCAGATCGATGCCATCAAACTGCAGTACAACAAACTCGGCGCCCAGGTTTGAGTGTATACCTATTTAAATTTGTGTGTGTGCGTGTGTACTTACGTGTGTGTGTGCTTGCGTGCGTGCGTGTGTGTGTGTGTATGTGTGTTTACTCATAACATCATCATCATTGACATAATCATCTCCAGCATAATCATCGCAACGTCACCATGGTTGTCTAGGTAACCAGTGGTAAGGTGAGTCTTGAGAAATGCTGCAAACTCTCGAAGAAGATCAATAAGGAGATGAACAACATGAGGACACTGATCAAAACCATTGATGAGAAATTCTCACCATCATCGCAATCCTCCTCATCAGCAGCAGCAGCAGCAGTGGCTACAGCGACTTCACCTGTTATAGGGAGTGCAGAGACTGCGTATGATGTTGAGGTGGGCTGTTTTTAATAGGCAGATTTATTTTTTCTAATGTGTGCAGAGCCGTTTAGAAATCTCTTCTTATTTTCATTATTTACTTCATTGAATTTAAATTTCTGTCTTGACAAAAAAGTTGATGGAAACTTTTTTATAATTTTTTTCACAGAAATACGCGTAATAAAAATAATAATGCAATGGATTAAGTTACCAGCTTAATACCAGCTTAATTCCCCGCCGAAATATGTTGCAGAAGTTCGTTTATAATTTCCCGCTAAAATGAAAACGTTGCAGACGTACATGACAGAAATCAACAACCGCAAGAATATCCTGCCGATGCTGAAGGACGCCGTAGAACAGTGGAGGAAGATCTCGCTGGAGAACTGCATGAAACAGCCGATCGTCAATGTCGAGGAGGTCGAGAAGGAGTTGAATCGTGTGGCCAACATGCTGAGCCACAAATCCAACCATCTTCTCGACTCTGACGTCAGTTGTGTCATCATTCTAACTTTTTCCCCGCAATTTCATCGTAATTTTAACACGCCACGTTCAGAAACTAAATATTAAATTAGAGATTTTGTGTGTGTGTTTTGTTGTTTCACGGCGTGTCCATCAAGAAATACACGCATGTGTGTACAGATTGTATATACAAAAACATGTTCGAAGCTTTATACAAACCTGAATTAACACACACATATACGCGTGCAGTACATTCTGATTGAATAAAAACATAGTTAGGCTCGTATGTGCACCTAAAATTTAAACATACATGGTCACATATATGATTATAAATATATAATAATACTGTATATATATATATATATATATATATATATATATATATATATATATATATATATATATATATATATATACGCGCACACATATATGCGATGTACACGCACGCACACACACACACACACACACACACACGCACGCGCGTACACAGAAATTAGACGCCACGGACCTCCTTGCCCCTGCAGAGTTGATATCATCCGTCAGCAAGTTTTTACTGAGGGTGAAGAGCAGTGATCTCAACGATGTCGAGGCCTTCAAGGTTTGTTTCTTTCCTCTCGCCTTACTTTCTACTTGTCCCATGCAGAAATGTACAAACCTACTGCTAATGCGTCATTATCAACTTGCGATGAATGAGTGGTTGGGTAAATTTTACCGGCCATCTTTGCCCCATTCAACAGAAATTGGTAAGGGAGGAGGACAATTTCGAAAGTGAGATTGACATTGAATTGAAGAGGTTGCAAAGGGTCAGAGGTCAACAGAAAGTTCAAGGACATTCCGATGTTGTCGAGCAGATTACTAATTCTATAAATAGCTTGCAGGTAGATTTTTGTACGACCTAGTTTGCTCGTTTGCGTGGCAATCATATCCATCACCGTCACACTCATCCTCATCATCGCCACAGTCGAACTGGGTTACTGTGAAATCTGAACTGAAGATGCGACTACAGCAGCAGCAGCAACAATTCGACAGCGCACCCCTCGCGCCACACTCGCCATCGTCATCATCACCGACGACGACAACATCCACGAACGAACTTCTGGAAGTTCTGCACTCGGACATAGATGACCTTGAGAATTGGTTGGAGGAGGTCGAGGGTGTGGTCGGTAGGAAGGGAGGAAGGCAGGCGGCATCCATTGATGAACATCTCATTCAGGTTGTTTGTTCGTTCGTTCGTTCGTTTGTTCGTTTGTTTGTCTGTTGTTACTGCTGCTATCTCTATTGCGCGATTTCTTTTTCTACGTTATAGCCGCATAGTTTGTAGCACATACCTTTTGTGCTTATCGGTACGTTATGCAGCAGGTCATCAGCGATAAGTCGATTCCATATATTATTTTCAATCATGTGAATGTCTATTTGCTAGTCCGGACAATTGGTTCATTCATTCATTCATTCATTCATTCATTCATTCATTCATTCATTCATTCATTCCATGATGTATCCAACAGTCCATAAGAGACCAGACGAAGCAGCGCAAATCAGAGTTGGACACGATTGTGAGGAGGGTGCAAGACACAGAGGACTGCAAGTTCACCTCGGCAGCCAGCCCTCTTCTTCTGCGTCTCTCCAGTCGCTTGCAACGTCTCCAGGCCTCCCTACCTTCTCAGGTCATCCCACCCTCTAGTCCCTTCGAAGCTAGTTACATTGTAGGGGACGATCGGGTGACTCCCACTTCCGAACTCCGGATACAGACTCCTTTCGATATAAAATTTTTTCAAGTGGCTGATAGTGGTGGAAAAGTAAGAGGTGGTGATGAGGTTTGTGCCGGTAGTGCGGATGTCGTTGATGTCGTTGTGGCCGGTGCCGCTGCTTTTGATGGTGGTGAAGAGAAGTTTGGTGGAAAATTTGAGAAGGTGAAGAAGAATGCAGATGAAATGGAGTTTCCTGTTTACAGCAGTGTCGTGAAAGGGAAGCCACCCTCGCAGCAACAAGAACCGCAGCAACAACAGCAACAACAACATCCTGTCAAACACTCGAAAGCATGGAACATCAAGATGCCTGATGAGATTGAAATCCCTCCTCATCATCCTCATCATCATCGACAGAGATCACCTCCAGCTCAGCAGTCGAAGCCGGATCAACAGCTAATACAACAACAGCCACAGCAGCAGCAGCCACAACAGCAGCAGTCACAGCAGCAGCTACAGCCACAACAAAAGCAGCCACAACAAGATGCGTCATCTTCGCAAAATAAAGAAAAGTAATATTTCATTGTTACTCTTGAATCATACATCAATTCAAATCTCATCATTTTTCTCCTCATTTTTTGTTAATTTTTCCTCTAACCATTTCTTTCATCCTTTAATTCAAACGAAGGTACGTAAACGAAATTCAAACAAGCGAACAAACAAACATGTAAACAAACAAACAATGAACAAACGAACGACAAACTTACAAACATACATACAAACAAACAAACATACATACATACAAACAGATTCATAACAGGACTGAATAACTTTCTATCGGTGATCATGGACAAGGCCAGGCCTCAGCCGGTCAGCATCGGAAACGAAGCTGCCATGGAGGAGGCTTCTACTAAAGAACAGGTTACGATGGTGATGGAGATATATCTTTCACTCTCTATCTACCTACCTACCTATCTGTCTGTCTGTCTGTCTGTCTGTCTGTCTATCTACCTACCTATCTATCTATCTATCTATCTATCTATCTATCTATCTATCTATCTATCTATCTATCTATCTATCTATCTATCTATCTATCTATCTATCTATCTATCCATCCATCTATCTATTTATCCTTTATTAATACTAATGTGAAGGCCAAACATCAAGAGTTGCATGCAATGATGCCGTCAATCAACAGCCTGGTCAGTAAGCTGCAGCAGATGCAGAATGACCCTGACTGGAGTCACAATGCTCAAAACTTGAGTTGGTTGATTGCTTGCCGTTTGTGTCGATTTGTAGTCGTTGACGGTGTCATTTTCTTTTCTGCTGAATTTCTCTTTCTGTTTTTCTCTCTCTTTCTCTCTCTTTCTCTCTCTCTCTCTCTCTCTCTCTTTATCTCTCTCTTTATCTCTCTTGTTTTCCAATCACTCCTGTTTTCAATTTTAATGCACCGTACAGCCACAAAACTTTGCGACAGCTGGGACAAAGCAATAAAGGACATAAAAGATAGAGAAAAGGAGCTTATTCAGATGAAAGTTCAAAGTTCAGAGTTCAATGACTTCTGCTGTAAATTTGTTAAAGTCACTACTGATGGATCGAAGAAAGTTCGTTTGAGTTGTTTGTGTTGGTTGCGTTAATGTTTTGTATGGTTGGTGTTGTATTGACTTAGAAATTGTTTTTATTTTCTAGTTATTTCATCATCAACGTTATTATCATTGTTACTCATCGTCATCATATTTGCTGCAGGAATAATCAGTTGTTCATTTTATTCCTTCCACAGAAGTCATCGTCATCTTCGTCGTCATCATCGCCATCAACATCGGTCAGCAAGTTACTGGAGTCGATATCATCATCGTTCAATCAGCTGATCACTACCTACCCACAAGATGACCCTTCCTATCTCAAAGTCAAAGTTCATGAGGTCATCGATAGGTACAAGTCTGTGGGTGGCATAAGGTAGGTGACTGAATGATGATGTTATGATGGTGATAATGGTGATGAGAAAGATGATGACGTCATTACATAACTGGTGTTTTTAATTCACCCCATCCAGTTCGCTAAAAACTTTGGAGCAGATGTTGTCAAATCTTTCAACAGCGCCAACAACTGCAGCTGAACCAACAAGACCAGTCACGACAGCAAAAGACAGCAGCAGTCCTATCGTTGCGGATGTCAATGAGAAAGTTGAAGACATCAAGAGAGATGTGGATGAGCTGAGGTGAGGGAATAAATGACCAAATGACGTAATTGTAATATTTTCACAAAAGACGGTAGTAGGGTTATTAGATTTACCCAGAGTTAATTATGAAACTTTGACAGGTCAACACCGACAACAACATCGACATCGGCGATGTCACCCTCATCAGCTCTGGCGCGCAAGATGAATGACCAGCTGACCGCCCTTCGAAGCATCGAGGATCAGCTAGTCAACCAGCCAGCTGTCGGAGACGAGCTGCAAGCCGTTAAGATGCAGAAGGTGGCTTTCCAGGTTGGAATGGGTAGTGGGTGGATTGTCCGGTGGGATTCTAATGGGTCGATTCCATTGAATTTGATAATATAAGCACACGTACAAACAACAAAACAAACGTGCCATCCATACTTATAAAGAAATTTACTCATGAACAAACATACATAAAACCAAACAAACAAACAAACATGTATACATACTTGAAAACATACTTAAAAAACAAACAAACATACATACATACATACATACATACAAACATGCATACATGTAGACACTGGTTGATAGAATCAACGAACAAAGACCATTTGTTTGTGAGATGTTGCAGGCGGAGAAATGTAATGAGGATCATCTCTGCCGAGGTATGATAATAATAATGCTGCTGCTGCTGCTGCTACTGCTGCTGATAAGAATGCCGATGATGATGATAGTAATGGCGATGATGATGAGGATGATAATGATGATTCAAGTCGCGACGATTGAATAACCCGGCAAACATTATATCTAAAACTAGAGAAGAAAAAACTTCTTGAAAAGAATTGGATAAAGATTCAGAAGCTTTCGTTGGATCGTGTCAATTTGTTGGATGGTACTATTGAGGTGCTTATATCATCATCATCATCTTTATCATCATCATCATCATCATCACTATCATTATCATCACCACACTACAGAAAATGACCATCTTGCAAGAGAGTCTCGACGATCTATCGCAGCACTTGAAGGCGGTAGAAAAGGAAGCCTCCGATTGGCTGTCCGTCGATGACGTCATCAAAGTGGGAGCCATGCAGGCTGATATTGCCGCTGTCCAGGTGTGTGTGCGTGTGTGTGTGAATTTGAAAGGTGTTTGTGTGTGTTTGTCGTCCGCTATTATCATCATAACCACGTCATCTTTGCATCATCGTGACGTCATCCTCAAATAGCCATCTTCATCGTCATCTTCACATCGATAAATTAGTTTGAAATGAAATTTTATTTGCTCCTCAAAATTGAAAGAAAATTGTTAATAAGTAAGCAGGATGACCACAGTATGATTCTAAAGTAAATTCATTGCTCGCCATGACTGCCTGCCTTATTACGGATAATTCATTTTAAAGTTTCAAGTTTTTAACAGAAGTGCTCAGAAATTTAAATTGAAGTTTCATCATGACCACGTCATCACTACGTCATAACTGAGTCATCGTCACGCAGGCCTTCCAGCAGAGGATAGCTCCGATCCAAGGTGAGGTTGACCAGTGCAACGACAACGCCAATCAGCTGAATGACGTCGTCTTGTCGCATCGAATCGTCACTACGCTCGAAGATTTGTTGAGGAGGTTGTTGTTGTTGCTGCTACTGTTGATGTTGTTGTTGTTGTTGATGCCGTTGTTGTTTGATGATGATGTTGTTGATGATGATGTTGTTGATGATGTTGTTGATGATGTCGTTGTTGATGTTGCAGCTCTTGTTGTTGATGTGATGTTATGGAGTTTTGTTGTTGTTGTTGTTCTTTCCAAATTGACTTTTAATTAAGCCCTGTTTGTTTCACGTTTGGTGTTGTCTAAGTTTCATTTTTTGATTTTAAAATATTTAAAAAAATTTGCTGATTATTAATTAAACAATTAATTAATCAGACAAATGAATAATTAATTAATTAATTAATTAATTAACTAACTAACTAACTAATTAATTAACTAAATAGATGGCGCACGTTACAATCGAAGACAGACGAGAGGCTGCTGGCGATGCAGGATTCCATGAGTAAGAGGAAGGGGTCCTTCTCACAGCATATTCTCGCTGGTCGGTGATGATGATGATGACGATGGTGACGACGATGATGATGATGATTGTGATGATGATGATGATGACGATGATGATTGGGATTCTTCAGCATCCGTCAGTCAACCGTGGGAAAGGGCCACAACTGATAACCACGTGCCCTACTACATCAAGTCAGTGATGATGATGATGATGATGATGATGATGATGATGGTGATGGTGATGGTGATAACTGTGACGTCATTAACAATAATTGTGACGTCATTATAGATATTTATCAGCCTTTTAAATATTGTGAACTGGAGATGTACACGTAAGGTGCATCTTAAGATCTCGAGATCTCGAGAACGGGTCGCAATATTAGCGTTATAAGGCCACTGACAGGTAATAATAGTGTCAGTTATTTGAATTTGTAGTTAGTAGTTATGAACGCAAATCTGGAGATGGTAGACGAAAAACTAACCCTGGAGTAAATTTTTAACTGCATAAGAATTATCCGGAGGAACATTCGTCAACAATGCTCGGTTTTTCCAGTCAAAAAGCGTGTTTCCTAACATGGGAAGAAAAAAAATTGCTATTTAAGAAATTTTTTTTATTAACGCTACTGAATAACTTTGAAGTTACACATGCACGCACGCACACACGCACATACATGCATACACGCACACACGCACACACACATGTACGTTTACAGTCATTCCTTGCAGTCAACTCATTGGGACCATCCGGATATGACCAAGTTCATGGAGTCCCTTGGTTTGTTTCTTCATCGTCACTATTATAACGCTCTCATTGTCATCATTTCCGTTATTACTACCATTATTATCGTCATCATTGTCATCCTCTTTTCCATCTTTTTCATCGTTATCATCACCACCACTATCACCACCACCACCATCATCAGGTGATTACGATGAGGTGAGATTCTCTGCCTACAGGACTGCCATGAAACTCAGGAGTCTTCAGAAGGCTCTTCATCGTGAGTCATGATGATGATGTTTGTGACTGATGATGATGATGGTTGCAATGGTGAAGATGATGATGGTTGCAATGGTGAAGATGATGATGATGATTGCGATGGTGGTGGTGATGATGATAATAATGATTTCGACGACGACGATGATGAATATATTCATCGTACCACAACAACAACATTAACAACAAAATCACCACCACCAACAACAACAAAACAGTCGACTTGATAACCCTGGACATCCTGGACTCATCATTCCAATCCTTTCCAACTTTGAAACTTTCAAAGTCCCTCCTAGCAACGACAACAACGACAGCAACAACAGCAGCAGCAGCAACACCAACAATATCGTCAGCCACAACAACTCCAACGGCCACGCCAACAAAGCCAAACAAAATCCAAAAGAAAAAACAACAACAAAAGCCGACAACACCGACAACCCCAACGACAACTAACAACTTCAACGACGCTGCAACCACACCAGACGATAACCACGACGACGACGACATCACAAAAAGTTTGGATCGTACCACTTTTAATCATCTGAGGTGTGTCCGAGTCCTCGGTGTTGTTGAGATGGCCGGCTGTTTGAGGTCCTGTTTCGAGAAGTTGCACTCTGATCTTAGTGCAACTCTGGCGCCAAAAAACCAAAAAGATGTAAATAAAAATAATGACGTCATCGTCAATAAGAGATGTGCTGAAGTTGATATGAATATTCCACTTGCTATGGATCTTGTGCTTAATTGGTTGCTTAATGTTTTCGACAGGTTGGTATATTCGATCCATGAGTTGTTGTCTGTTGTTGTTTATTGTTGTTGTTTGTTGTTGTTTGTTGTTTTCTGTTGTTGTTGTTGTTGTCATCGTTGACGTCATCCAAATGATTATTTTATATAATAGTCATTATTTTTAACATCACGTGACTAGCGCCCGTATGGGGTCGATCGATGTTTCATCATTCAAGACAGGATTGGTCATGTTGTGCGGTAGTAGCATGGAGGAGAAGTACAGATGTATGTTGCTGTGGTCGTTGTTTTGTTGTTGTTGTTTGTTTTTGCTGATGTCATCACCATCATCTTCACCATCTTCTTCGCCACCGTCATCAGACCTATTCAGGATGTCGGCTACGGAAGCACAGAGCAGCCTGACGAGCGCCACCACCACAAGAACGTCATCGTCGTCTCCAAACTTACCCTCTCCAACATCACCATCATCCAACGTCAGCAGCAGCAACGATGACTGGATCATTTCCGACAAATACAAAGATCAAAAAATAAGTAAAGATACCGGAAGCGGAAAAAGAAATTCGACGAATGACATAGATAATACGCAGTCGTCCATGTTGAAACTGAGCAGGCGACAGTTGGCACATCTTCTGCATGATGTGATGATGATTCCCAAGCAAATTGGAGAGGCGGGGGCGTTCGGGGGCACCAACTCTCAGCCTAGTGTGAATAGCTGTTTCGAGATGGTTTGTTCTTTACTATACCTAAGTTCTTGTTTGTTGTGTTTTTCGTTTTGTGTTGGTCAGTTTGTTTTATGTTATATGTGCTTGTGTGTGTGTGTGTTTGTGTGTGTGCGTGCGAGTGTGTGTGTTTGTGTGTTTGTTTGTTCCTTCTGTATGTTTGCTTTCTTTGTTTTTCACATATGTGCAATCAATTGTTATCTGTTTTGGCTCCTAACTTACCTTGGAACGTCTACCACACATTCACCAGGCAGCCCAGCAGAAACAAAACCAACAACAACCACAGCAACAAATAACCGAGCAACAATTTCTGAACTGGACTCGTCTGGAACCACAGTCAATCGTATGGGTGGCCGTCCTTCACAGACTGACCTTATCAGAGGGGGCTAGCCATCATGTCAAGTGTCACGTGTGCAAGAAGTTCCCTATTAAAGGCTTGAGGTTAGTGAGTTAGTTGGCTGATTGGTTGGCTGGCCAATTGGTTGGTTGGTTGGTTTATTGATTGGTCAGTCGATTACGAATCTACTGATCAACATCAGCTTTATTGTCTTTAGTTTCATTAATCTTCATCTTCATTCAATCGTCGTCGTCATCATCAGCTGCGTGACATCATCAGCACATTCTCATGACGAAATTATGACACCTCACCCAGGTACCGTTGTCTGAAATGTTTCAGTTTGGACATGTGCCAGAACTGTTTCTTCTCTGGAAAAACTGCCAAGAGTCACAAGTTGAACCATCCTATGCAAGAGTACAGCAGCGAGGTTGGTTGGTTGGTTGGTCAGTCGGTCGGTCGGTGATTGATTGATCGATCAATCGATTGATTGATTGATTGATTGATTGATTGGTTGGTTGGTTGATTATCTAGCTGGCTGGGTGATCTGATCGGCTAGTTTATGTTTGGTAGTTAATTGTTTAATAAACTCAATCACCATCATTCTAACATCTTCATCTTCATCACCAACAGCCACTGCTAGCCACAAACAACCACAAACAACCACCACAGACCACCTCACACGAGGACGTCAAGGACTTCACCAAAATCATCCGCAACAAATTCCGCTCCAAACGCTACTTTCAACGCCACCGAAGACTCGGCTACCTTCCCGTGGGTGGAGAGGATGATGACGACGATGAGGATGGTGATGGTTGTAATTTTGATGGGGTTTTGGCATGGAGCGGTGGCCGGGGTGGTAGTTGTGGTGAAGTCGTTGTTGGTGGTAGCGTCGATGCCGTTGGTGGTGGGTCTGGGTGAGTTTTTTTTTTTTAAAGTTTTTTCATCGATGTACATGATAGTTGTTGATACGACGATGATGGTAAAAATTTCATAGGATTGCCGGAGACAACATCATGTTCAGCAGCAATGTTGAGAATACCTTTCAGAACAACAACAACAACAACAACAACATTAATGACGTCATCGGCAATAACAACAACAACGCCAACGATGCTGACGTCAACGCCAGCAAACGAAACACCCACACTGACCAACAAAACGAACACAACCTCATCGCACAGTACTGCCTCAGTCTTAAAGGATACTCGCCAGATGGACAGGTTTGCTAACGCCATTATGACGTCATCATTACGTCATCATCGTCGTCTTATTCATTCATCTCCCTTCATCGTCTTCATCATCTCCGTCCGTCAATATGCCTCTAATCATTAAATCCGCAGTTCTACTTTGACATTTTCTAACTTGATTATCATTATTAGCGCGTTCATCTTCATCACATTAATTTTCTTATCATCAACATGACGTAACCCCAGCCTAGCAGTCCTTTAGAGATAATGAAGAAAGTCGACGGCGAGAGGAAGGAAGAGATAGAGGAGATGATCGTCAAGTTGGAACTGGAAAATAGGTCTCGGATACTTAACTTAATTTATTACTCGGTCCTTTTGTCATTTAATTGATCACTGAATTGTTCTCTTGATCACTCAACCAACCATTTTAGCAATCATTCAATCAATTAAGCAATCATTCTATGATTTGTCCAGTCACTCAATCGTTTCATCAGTCAATTAAACGCTCAATTAAAGGTCTCATCAGTCAATTAATCACTCAATCATTTTTTAATAATTTATTCATTCATTCATTCATTCATTCATTCAATTAATCAATCATCTAACCCACACCAACCAACCACAGAAACCTCCAAACAGAATACGACCGTCTTCTCCAAAATAAATCCCTCCTTGCCAACAAAAATCTCCCGTCCAACGACGATTCACCAAAATTTCACAAAACCCAAGTGTTTGGTGACGCTAGTAAAGAGGAAGTGGTTAATGGTGGTGTGGCTGTAGGTGGTGGTGGCGTTGGCTGCGAAGACGTCGAGGAGAGCGCCAGAAAGTTGGAAGAAAAGTTGAGGGCACTGGATGAAAGTAATCAACTGCTGCACGCTGAGTTGTCGCAGATTTTAGATCAGGTCTTTTTTTGTTGTTGTTTGTTGTTGTTTTTTGTTGTTTTTTGTTGTTGTTGTTGCTGCTGTCGTCGTTGTCGTTTATGCATACGTTGTTTTTCGTTTGTTCCTTTGTCGATAGAACTCTCGTTCATTTATTCATTTAGGTTCTAGTAAGCTAATTTTAAGTCGCTTACACGTATACGTTCCCACAGTACACACACACATGCACGTCACACGCACACACACACACATACACACACATACACACTCACACACACGCACACAGGAGTCCAACGCTAACAGAAGAATTTTGAGGTTTCCATCGACTTCATCGTCACCAACGTCGAAGGTTGAGAGAGAATGCATGAATGAATGAATGAATGAATGAATGAATGAATGAATGAATGAATGAATGAATGAATGAATGAATGTATGAATGTATGAATGAAATCTGAATTTAACTGTTTAGTTTTGAAACCTTTAAATGAACAATTAAAAAAAGTTTTAAAAAGATATTACGATCAAACTGATTTATTGCCAGTCTATTGATCAATCAATCAATCAATTAATCAATCAATCAATCAATCACCCATCTACCAATCAATCAACCGATCCCCAATTTCACAGACGCCCGTAGTATCGTCATCAGCAGCCGTAGTAGTAGCACCATCATCCTCCCCATCTTCAACATCATCACTGCCAAGAAGGGATCCACCAACATTCAGTCAAAGAGGTTAGTTGGCTGGTGGCTGGTTGGCTGGCTAGTTGGTTGGTTGGTTGATTGGATGGTTTGCCGGTTGATCAGATCCTGCATTCATCCATTTATTCGTCCATCCATTCGTTCATTCATTTATCCATCCATTTACTTATCCATCCTTCTATCCATCATCAGACAACGCCCAGCGAGAAGCCGAACTGGATGATCTGTTGAAGAGGCTGCAAACATCTGACCTGCCCTTATCGCCTGGTCAGGATAATGATGATGATGACGACGAAGTTGAGATGATGATGATGATGACGACGACGTTGTGATGATTATAACGACGTTATGATAATGATGATGTTGATGATGATGATGATGTTGATGATGGTGATGATGATGCTGTAGTAGCTGTGATGATGATGTTGTTGATTAGTTGCTGTGATGACGATAACGCTGTTGATATCCTCACTTTATGATTGCAATTGCTGAAGGGATTAATGAGATAATTAATATTAATTAATTAGGGATTATGATAATTAATTGCTGTCGTAGTTTTGACGACGAAAATAATAATGACAATGA